GCTATCGCCTCGTGGATCCAGCTACTTTGACAATGTTATGACGAACTTCATGATCAATAACAGGACAGACGAAAGAAAACCTGATGTCAATTTGTTAACTTTAAAATTATCAGTTTCACTCTCGTACCGGAATATACATGTAAGACAAACCAAGTGTCACTTTTTCACAGAGGTGAAATAAGCACTCAGTAGCAGACCATACGTTACTTCACATTAAATTAACAATATTTAAGACGATATTAAGGACTATATTAAAAAGTTAAACTATTGTTAAAAGCTCGAGTTTTCTATAGGCGAGTAGTTACGAAGTTCACTATCGCTCAAAGAAAACTAGGGTAAGAAGTCTGGTTGCTTCAATATACACTCTAAAGGACCGAGTCCAAAGCCTTCACTTTTATGTATTTTTAACCCAAAAGCCAAGAGGCATTAAGTAAATAATAAATAATTTGTTATACCATCGATCGAATTGGAATTTGGAAATGTTGGTTTATTAGGAGGGCAGAAAACCGTAGTACCTGGAGAAAAACCAACAACAAACTCAACCCACATATGACACTGGGCCGAAATCGAACCCGGGCCACATTGGTGGGAGGCAAGCACTGCGCCAACCCTGCTCCCCTGAATTTTCCTTTTCAAGTGCAACGCGCAATCGGGTCTTGTCAACGAACAGACAAAAGCAACAGACAAGACGAGAGAATTAGTTAGATTCGGGGATTTCAAACTACCGAACCGTCAAGATGATTAATTGATTACAATATAAAGCTATACAAGTGCAATCTGAATATTACCTCCCGGCAGACACAGTCGTTCTCAAACGGTCCCCTGTGTAAAATACAAATATATAAAAAAGCATTATCTCAATCACTAATTCTTTAAACGTTTGAAGTTGTCCTTCAATAGCATATCGGAATAGATAAATTTATTGATAAAATTTTAAAATTCCCGTGAAGAATGCATCGAACTCAGAGACCTTCTATTTTGAACTATTTGGCATTGCCTTATCAATTGTACTCATTAACGATTGTCCATTTCATCGTATATTTCCGAAACCATGTATCGAACTCAGAGAACTTTTATTTTACTTCATTTTATCTTGAACTGCTTTCTTTTTATTTTTATCGCTTTATCACTTATACTCATTAGCTATTGCCCATATTATCGTATACTTGCATCACCATATTTACACTCATTCTATCACTCGCGTCACCTACACCACGTTTATATCACGCACTATGGAATATTTTCTTTCATTCCCTAATGATGCCGTTGAACGGCGAAAGCTTGGAATTAAAATACAATACAGTAGCTCAAGGTCTCAATGGAATCAATATATTTATCTATACGAATTCTTCACTTTGCCTTCTGTGACAGGGTAATGTAAAGTACCTACACATGGGTTAGTTTAGAAAACTTGTGAAACGTGCAAACCCTAAATTCAAGTATAAAACCAATCAGTTTACAAAGAAGCTGGCTATGCGTAGGCAGGCAACTGCTAGCTAACTTAATTAACAAGTTAATTATAAAGATGACAAATGCTGTGAGGATGGCGCACATTTGATATATTAAAATTCTACCAAGGCACCAGGGCTTTTAACTGAACTCTTAAAGAAAATTTGCAGTTTTAGTTGGAAAGCCTCTTTGCCATGTTAGAATTTTGATATATCGAACATGGACTATTGTTGACTATCGCCTNGCGCACATTTGATATATTAAAATTCTACCAAGGCACCAGGGCTTTTTACTGAACTCTTAAAGAAAATTTGCAGTTTTAGTTGGAAAGCCTCTTTGCCATGTTAGAATTTTGATATCTCGCACATGAGCTATCGGGAATTACCGTGTCGAGACTTGGCCATGTATTGGAGCAGACTGGGGGATTCCTACTGACGAAACCTGTGGAAAAAGACCAAACATACAAATCATTTGAAGAATAACCGGACATCCAGCACTACCAACAGACACTCACTATGGCTTAGCTATTGAACTCTGAGTCAGCCTTTCTTGGCCTCGAAATATTAACATAATTACAGTAGAACATGTACGGCATAGCCCTGTTACGCTCAACAAAGTTTATAATACGTGCCATACAAGAAGCTCCTGCACTGGCTTGAAGCCATTCAAAGAGGTCTCCATCTTGAGAGTGCCTCGCAAGGAATGCACTATCAATTCCAGTAACTAATTGTTCTGCGACTTCTTGGTCATTCATTTGAGCATACTGGGGGATTCCGTCCGACGAAACCTGTGGGAAAAGACCAAACATACAAATCAACATGGCACTTCCCTTCGGACCTTCACCCAAAGTCGTCATGACACAGTCAGTCCAGTTGATAAAGGCCTCATCCGGAGTCCACCATATTGTTGTACTGTACCCATTGTAACCTGTGATCATCGAGTTTCCAGTTTTGATAATCAAGTCTGTTTTACAGGGTGAAGTGACTAGCCCCATGCCCAAACAGCAACCCGGAGGGCCAGAGTTTTCTGTCGGGGTTTTCCTTCCCTAAGTCACAGGTTCCGGTTATTTGTTGAATACCCGCCTTTTGCCACTGCTGCTCAGCTGCTAGCTGCCACTATCATTACCAGGAACTACGATGACGAGGACGTGTGACATATGGCTTCACTGGCAGATAGACAGCCCATATAAGTGAGTGTAAA